AATTACTCAGTTCTGAATTTATTAATTATTATGGACATAAAAAAGGTGGGTTTCTTTATATTATTATTTTTACATATTTAATTATTTATTTTATATTTTTGTAATTTTATTAATTACTTCCTTTCCTTTAATAATAATAATAATTAAGAAAATATTGAGCTAAACAAAACTTAATTTAATAAATTATATTTATGTTTAAAATTTTATAAATTTAATTGATAAAACTTAGTAAAAATATTAATGCATTTATTTAAAACTGTTTCTAAACAATTGGATTATATATTTGGAAAAAAAAACAATATTTTTTTTTTCTTATTTTATATTAATTTGGATACTTTAAAAATGGTTAAATTTAATTTAATTTAGTTTAAATAAAATTTTATTTTAGAAAAAGACAAAATTGAAATTCGAGTGACGCAGAGCAATCCAACAATGCCCTTGATTTTGTTTCCATGCAGACGAAAGAGACGAAGGAGGCGGAGGAGGAGGAGGAGAGAGATAGAGAGAGATAGAGAGAGACAGAGAGAGAGTGGCGGCAGCTTCAAGTTCAACGTGTGGTCTCCGTGCATGGAATTCGTGAACCCTTTTCACAAATTGTGAAACAAATTCCAAATCTCGTCTATAAAAGGGTAGCCCCAAATTTCTCTTACCACAAGCAATCGACAATAATAATAATGGAGATTGCAGCTGTGAACCCTGAAATGGACACAGCTTCAACCATCACCATTAAAGGCATTCTCAGCCTTCTCGTTCAGAACGTCGATGAAAACAATGGTCGGAGGCTGATTTCTCTCGGCATGGGCGATCCTTCTGCTTATTCTTGTTTTCATACTACCCGTGCTACTCAGCAGGCTGTTGTTGATTCTCTTCAATCTGAGAAATTTAATGGCTATGCTCCCACTTCTGGTCTCCCCCAAACGAGAAGGTTTCGCTTCAATTTCGATTTCTGGGTTTTTATCTCGTTTTTATGTGAATCTTTTGATTTGGGGATTGGAATTGAAAATGCCGATGATTCAATATATGCATGTAGGTTGTTGAGTTTTGTGTTGTTCTTCGTTTTTTGTGAATTTGAATCTTCTGGGCTTGTTCGTATGATTCTTTTCTTTCTTTTCTTGCTTCTAGTTGTTTCTAATTCTTCCGTAATTCAACTGTTCTACATGAATTAGATGCTAGGTTGGATTGTTCTTGCTCTTTTTCCAGAGATTTTCTGTTCAAAAGAACACTTTCTCTTTGGAGAGGACAGATTTTCTTTCGTTCTTTCTTTCTTTTTTAAAACTAATGAAGTGTTCCATTTTATTATCACTCCCTTCGTGAGAATTCTTGAATCTGTTACTTGGCCTATTTGTTTCTGTAATTTTCTTTACTTGTTCATATGCTGCTCTGCAACTTTCCATGGTAAAGCCAGTGAATGAACGATCTGATCTCGTTTGGGATAGTTATGATTTTGATTTTAATGCTTGAAACGAGCTGCATGATTCTTAGCTGAAGAGAAAGTTTGAACATGTGAAGGAACTTTCCAATTCTGTTTCTATGAACATTTAACTGATACAGGGCAGCTAAACAGATATATTCATGGAATCGAGTGATTTGATGAAATGTAGCATCGAATTAAGGTTATATTTCTGTTTTCTAATTTCTTTGTTTAAACTATCATTGAATAGGTCAATTGCTGAATATTTATCACGAGATCTTCCGTATAAGTTGACATCCGATGACGTTTTCGTTACGTCAGGATGTACACAAGCGATTGATGTTGCTTTGATGATGCTTGCTCGTCCTGGTGCAAATATACTGCTTCCGAGGCCTGGTTTCCCTATCTATGAACTTTGTTCTGCATTTCGGAATGTTGAAGTCCGGCACTTTAACTTGCTCCCTCAACAAGGTTGGGAGGTTGATCTTGATGCCATCGAAACGCTTGCAGATAAAAACACCGTTGCATTGGTTATTGTCAACCCAGGGAATCCATGTGGAAATGTATACAGTTATCAGCATCTGAAGAAGGTAAGTTATAATCTAGATTATAGAACTGAACCACTCAAATATAATACTGTACGGTACCTACGAGAGCTGTTTTCGTTTAGTTTCGTTTTGTTTTATCTTACGACCGAAGTGTCTGCATAATGTTTTTGGTTGATTGATTGCCCTTCAGATTGCAGAAACGGCAGAAAAGCTTGGAATTCTGGTGATTGCTGATGAAGTTTATGGGCATCTTGCTTTTGGAAGTAAACCTTTCGTGCCAATGGCAGTTTTTGGATCAACTGTTCCTGTACTCACCCTTGGATCACTATCAAAGAGATGGATCGTACCGGGCTGGCGACTTGGGTGGTTCGTGACTAGTGATCCTTCGGGCACGTTCAAAAACCCCAAGGTTCCACCACTTCCCTCACACACTACTTGATTGCTAAATTGCAGACTAAATTAGCTACTGTTCTTCATATTTTGTGCTTTATCTGACATACCTGTTTGCCTTATCTAATGCTTATTGAACTGTACCATCGTTACATGCAGGCTATCGAGCGAATCAAGAAGTATTTCGATATATTAGGAGGTCCTGCAACATTCATCCAGGTTCAGACGTTATATTTTTGTCGTTTCAAATGCTGGCTACTTTTCTTTTCATTTACGATTCCAGTCGTTTTCGAATGAAACGACTTTCTTCTGTCATACTAACCAGTTCATATCAAGATGTTAGGCATATCAAATTTCATATAAACACAAACCATTGTCACCGTATTAACTCACGACCGACACCCAAAACTCGAACCTAGCTTTGTTCATATATTACTGTTAGCATCATTCCAAGTTGCAAACTTCTTCTCATTCAAATTCTGCATGGTGAATTGATGCATCAGGCTGCAGTACCTCAAATCCTTGAGTCAACTGATGAGGTTTTCTTCAAGAAAACTATCAATATTCTGAAGCAAACCTCCGAAATATGTTGCAGAAAGATCAAGGAAGTCCCTTGTATTACATGCACACACAAGCCCGAAGGATCGATGGCTATGATGGTAACGAAAGAAATCTCTAATTTAAGTTTATAAAAATTTATGAATCCCGTGTCGCTTAGCGCCCTACGATGCAATAATGTAGGTGAGACTGAACATGGAACTTCTTGAAGATATCAGTGATGATATTGATTTTTGCTTCAAGCTTGCCAAAGAGGAATCTCTCATCATTCTTCCAGGTAAGACCTGAAAAACATCAATGCTTTTGATCTTCATTTCATCTGTACAATTCAAACAGAACTGAAACTCGAAGAATCGTGGTTTGGTTTCAGGAACGGCGGTAGGGCTGAAGAACTGGCTGCGAATCACCTTTGCAGTCGATCCGTCCTTTCTTGAAGAAGGGTTAGGGAGGCTTAAATCTTTTTGTGAAAGGCATACACTTGAGCTGTAAAGAAGTTGGGCTATGCTGGTTGCTGGTGATGCAAATGAAATAACAGGTTGAGTCTCATAGGTTAACTGATAAATGGAAATCATAGCAACTCTTTCCATGTACCGATGCAACTCAGCTATAAATACAAGCCCATTAAGATTAAAAAATGGCTTCCGTTCTTGCTTTCTGATATGATTGTATAACTTTTTCTGCATATGGTATCTTTTATATCGACTACTAAATGCACAAAGTTATTTAATTGAAATATGGGAAGCAACAATGAGATTGATTACCTATCTTTATGAGCATCATAGCCATCGTTTGATAGTAGACTCTTATCTGGTGATATCTGTTCTTGTTTTTGCACCTTCTGTCATGGCTAAAACATTGCGCCTCCTTACACTGCCACAGGGTCATCGTGTTCCTATTTATGCCACAATTTTTAGGTAGAGTTGGAGAGGTTAGAAGGATAATGTTTGGTCTCCAATGATAACAATTTATGTTTGCCTAGTGTGTGTATTCATTCGAATTCGACCCAATATTGAAAGACTGCATTCAAAATGGTTAGCTCTTTTGGTTCTTTATTGATCTCTATGCCCTTTATATTGGACAGTTTCAACTATTTCTTTTTAACTCTTATGGTGCTTGCATTCTATTCAATAATATAATTTTATTGTAATAAAATGCGGTAAGTATATGTTTAAAAAATACCTATAAAATTTTAAAAGTCGCATCTTTTGAAACGACCTACTAATTGTGAGATTTTTTTTTTATTTTAAGAAAAAATTTAAGCATATTAATGAAAATTTTGGAATTGAAAGATAAAATACATCAAACTCTTAATATAAATAAATGTTTTAATTTCTACATTTTGTTCAATTTTGGTTAAATTCACACACTAGTTTATGTGTTTATGTTCATATCTACCCAACACTACAAAAGGAGAAAGAATTTTATTTTTTAGGTTTAAATACACGTGAGAATAAACATCTGAATCTTGAGAATCTTAAATTGTTCGAGTTATACTCACGTTCGAATTAGAGTTTTATTATAAGCATTCAAATTTGCAAAATCTACTCCGTTTTTGCTTTTAGAATAAACTTAGGTGCTAAATAAGTTTTATTCCCGCAAAACACTTCAAAATCTGATTCACAGTTTACAAGTAAATACATGCGTTTAGTCTCTAACATTTGAGTGCTTTTAAATTTCGTCCTTTCGTTTTAAAGCTATGCACCTTCGGAGCCAGCGTCCTCGCTGACACACCCGAATAAGGTGAATTGTGAGATCTCTTATTGATTGGAGAAAGGAATTAAGTATTTTTTATGAGGGTGTGGAAATCTCTCCTTGATAAACGTGTTCTAAAACCATGAAGCTGACAGACTATACATAATGAGCCAAAGGTAAGAATAGAACGGTTACAAATTATATATGAGCTAGATTTTGAGCAATGTATCAATGAGAACGCTGACTCCCAAAAGGGGTGGGGAACAAAACATTCAAGTGTGGAAATCTTCGAGTTGAGGTTGACAATGATACAATGAGTTAAAGCTGACCATATCTACTAGCAATGAGCTAGCATATATTCAACTCATCGTAAATTTAAATATTTAAAAATACAATAAATATTAAATGTTGTTCAATATCCCCAAAACAATCCGGCAGCTCTGAACGGCCGCCACCGTCCCAGCCAAAACCTCCGACGGCACCGGGACCGAAGGGTTTTTATCGAACCCAGCCAAGCAGCTATTGACATTCCTAATCGAAATCTCCACGCCGTTTCTGGCACGGGCATAATCTCCTCCTTGGACCGCACTTCTGATTCCTGGAAAATTGCCGGCGGCATACCCTGTGGAAAACCAGCAATCGTTCAACAGCGTCTTCACAGGGGAATTCGGCGTTCTACGGGAAATGTCGCCGATCCTCTGGGCCATTGCTCTGGTATTCCTCTCCGCACATCCGACGGCGATGACTGCGAGTCCACGCCCATTGGCAGTCCGGCTGGCGGAATCGGAATTGAGGCAAGCAGAACAAATCACCGGCTGCTCGGTTCTGCCGCAGAGGTTTCGGATGAGGGCGGCGTCTGGTTTCGCCGGAGAGAAGAGGGCGAAGAGGGCGAGGAGAAATAATGGAAGCATGGAATTGAAGGGATTCATCTTCTTCTTCTTCTTGGATTCCAAATCAGTGTGTTGAAGATTGATTCATCTTCCACTGGTATTTTAAATCTGTTTTTTACTATTTTTATTATTTATTAATGGATCATTTCCAGTTCATTTCTGTTTTATATCCTTTCTTTTTTTTATTTAATTACTTTGTTTTCTTTTTCTATTTTTTCATTTAACAATTTTTTATAACCAAAAAACCACATTTTAATTATTTTCCACAGTGATATAATATTAAGTTCTCGTGGTTTTACTCTCGACTTTTCAAAAAGCCTCGTACCAATGGAAAAAGTATTTTTGAATTATAAATCCATGATCATTTCCTAAATGAATCGATGTGGGACTTTCATCCTCCAACAAAATTAATCTAGTGAATCTATAAAAAATGGTTACATTTAACTCGATTTTAGCTATATACTTCTAATTTCTTTTTAAATTTGAATGCTTTTATCAAATTTGAAAATATTTTTCACATTATATATTTTTTTGTCTAATAATTTCAAGAAAATAATATAGAAATAGAAATTAGAATGATAAGAGAGTGTATTATGGTTTTAAAATCTTTTTAATTTTAACACAAAAATAGGTTTGAATTTGAAGCGTAGTGTCACAATCACGCTTGTCAATATTTTTATTTGGCTCTGATCAACCTGGAGGTTCTATTCAATGAATTGGAAACTGAACCAGAAAAATTAACTCAACCAAATTCAAAAGATTAATCTAACCCAACCTAACTCTTATAATTCGGGTTGGTTGGTCCTAGTTGTCCCGTTGAATGTGTACCCTAAAGTGCACCCCAGTAGTTTTTTTTTTCCTTTAAGCGGGTATTAGCTTTTGGCGCTTAAACCAAACCATCGCCGGAGGGGTTTCACTTTCGGTTATCTCTTCTTCAACGGAATGGCGTCCACTTCCAATTCCAATTCAACTGGCGTTTCCGAAAGAATCAAATCCGCTGCCACTATTATGAACTCTGAGAATCAATCCCTCCTTGCCGTAACTTTCTTAATACTATTCTCTTTCTTCTTTGTCTGCTTTCAATTTGTTCTTCTTTTTGTTCTACTGTTTGTGCTTTTCCGATCGACAGATTAAATTTTCTAATTGCCATGGAAAATGAAGTTTCCGTTGCTAAATACATCTTGTTTTTAGCTTTAAGATCTCGATTTCCTATATAGAGAGTCAGTTCTAACGCTGTATTTCCTTCACTTTGCTCTGTGAACTGTGTTTTCTGGATTTCTGAAAACTGAAAAACTATTGGAAGATGATCTTGTGTATTCTTTTAATGGAAAATCTCCCCGCCCAACCCGTTTTCTTCAGTTCGTGGTCCGAGAAGACGAGATAAGAATGGTGAATTAAATTTGAGGAGTGATTGAGATTATTAGGTTGAAAAGTATGATTCGTTAGGAATTCGATGAATGATGATGGATTATCTGTTTATTTCTGTGATTGGATTTTACTGTCTTAATTTCAGGAATTACGGAAGTCGCTGATCATGATGAAGGAAATCGGGGTGGAATTGGAGAGGGACAATCAGTCGAGGATGGTACTATGAACTATTGACCTTAATTTCGAATATTCAGAAATTTTTGTAATTTGTTACTTTGGAAGAGAATGTTGTTAGGATAAGATATTGTTTGTAATAAAATATACTAAGAAGCAAGTACCTAACATGTTCATTGCTCATTGTTGATCATTGTTGCTTGGAACCCTTAACTAATGATTTACTTGGTATTTGAACATTATTTTAGGTCAAGGAGCTTGAAAATTCTGTTGTTGAGCTGTTGGGTACTTATGAAAAATGTAGCAACTTTTCATCTGCAATTCAGTCAGTTGGAAATATATATGAACCACAAGAAGAGGTGCTTGAATGCATTTTCCACTACTCTTTTTTTTGGTTAATTTTCATTGTGATGGTTCCTTCCTTCGTACATAATATTCTATGTTGATCATGTAGTTAACAGATTTTGAGAAACTACTTGACGATGAAGTTGCAAAAGTCAGCGAAAATTCGTCTTCAAATTTGCAGAACCATTCAATAATTCGACAGTTTAGAGAAGCTATTTGGGTATGCATCTTCATCTTCTTTAATATGCACTAGGAAATTTTGGAATGCGTTAGTTCACTTCTATGACTTTCTACTAGTCGGGCTTTAGAACTGATTATGCATGGCAGCAACAAGAAAGTCCTCAAATCAGTGCAAATAATTATACTAATACTGTGAAAATTCCCAACAGATGAGAAGTAAGCAAGAGAAAATTCATAAATGATTGGAAACCATTTTTTTGTTCTTCCAATTGCATTATTCTTTCCAGTGCTTTAACTTATCTCCCGATATTCCGGCAGAATGTTCATCACGCAGGACAACCAATGCCTGGTGAGGAGCAGGAGGACGTTGTGATGACCAGTACTCAGTGTAATCTATTGAATGTCACTTGCCCGTTGAGTGGAAAGCCTGTCACTGAATTGGCAGAACCTGTTCGAAGGTATGTTATTTCATGAAGGATAAAGAATTGGAACCATTTCTGTTAGCATTGAAAAAGAAGTCTGCTTTGTTAGGATTATTGGGAGGGAGTCCCACGTTGGCTAATTTAAAGAGAATGATCATGAATTTATAAGTAAAGAATACATTTCCATTGGTATGAGGCCATTTGGGAAAGTCCAAAGCAAAGCCACGAGAGCTTATGCTCAAAGTGGACAACATCATACCATTGTGGAGAGTCGTTATTCCTAACATGCTTGTCTAATCACTGTGTACTAACAGCATGGATGCTGAAAGGGAATGGCTACATGCTTTATTTTCTCTAGTTTCATTTTTCAAGTGGATGCCTAAAAAATGGAATGAGCTAGTCTAGCACTTGGATCTTCTTCTTTTTCAGAGCCGAGTTTCGAAATTGTTTTTTGTTCCTTAAAACAAATAATCATTTTAGGTTGTGGAAAAGATTCACTCACATGGAATGTATAGTCCTTGTTTTTCCTTGATTTTTTTACTTCGAGTTCAACCACACCTTGAAGAGGACGATTCAAATTTTTTATTTTTCGATCGATAATATAATGCTTATGTTTAAGCTAACTTCCATAGCCTGTTGTTATAGATCAATACGGCCAGGCCATTGTGCATTTAAACACTTCTACTAAGTCTCTTTTTTGTCTCTACTTTCTGCAATTTTCAGTACGGAATGCAAGCACGTCTACGAAAAGGTTGCCATAATGCAGTACCTAAAATCCAAGAGATCACGAGCTCAATGCCCTGTTGCTGGTATTTGAATCTACTACATTACATGTACGACATAGAATGTTTTTAGATTGCTCGTCTCACTTGACCTCTTTGTTCTTACAGCCTGTCCCAAGATGTTGCAGCCTGAAAAGGTCATTTCTGATCCATTCTTACCGATTGAAATTGATGAACTACGCAAAACGTCTAAGCATTCAGTGAGGATACAGGATTTCACAGAGGTTGATGCAGATTAACATCACTGAAGTAACTTCTTTTACATATTTTGTCATTGTCTTAGTAGATTTCTTGGATCAAATGTTCTGCTTGGTAACTTTAGCTCGTTAGGGATGTTCATGGTTATCTATATCTATCAATATGAATTGTCTCTATTTATGTTCGAATGGAGAATTGTGGCTTCATTCTCAAATAGCCATTGCCCTTTAAATTTTATAGAAGGTTCATGAAAGGTCTATCTTTTTGATCGAAGGGGCAAATTCCTGTGACATTTTTTACAATTTAGCCAAATATCTAACAAGGATGGTTTGGTTTTGGGAAGAGAGGTTTACAAAAACAAAATCAAACACAATATGTAACTGAAGAAACTAAAATTCTGCTCCCATTTAACAACTGAACATTTAACCTACATACAACCTCAGTTTAATAGATATCTCTACCTAGAAATCTGATACAATTCAAGACTATGGGGCATTACAAAACTTGAAACAATATAAGAGAGTGAGCTCGGACTAGAAAGTACAAGGAATTGACATTAAGAAGTGTCAATTTCAAAAGACTCCATCCAAATATGATGAATCCAACCCTCCCAGAAGCTCAAAATGACCTTAAACTAAAATGTTTGGTTGAGCATATCCAGCAGGATTGGAAACTCAAGACATGGCATTAGGAACTCATCCATTCACTCTTTTGATGATGTACCTCATATTCCAATAGTTGATGATCATGAAGAGCAGCAACCAACTTTCTTTACTGCAGAAACATCATCCTTGTTTCCAACGTTAATGGTTTGTCCTTTAGGCAATGTTGTGGCATCCTCCCCAATCTCGAGTGCTTTTCTGCAAACTACACGATAGATTTGGGTTAGCACTTCGGTAAAAGCACTCTCGACATTCAGAGACTCGAGGGCAGATGTCTCCATGAAGAAAGTGTTCTCCTTCTCCGCAAAGGCCGAGGCATCTTCAGTCGAAACAGCACGCAGATGTCGCAAGTCTGCCTTGTTACCAACTAGCATTATTACAATATTGGAATCTGTGTGATCCCTGAGTTCTTTCAACCATCTCTCAACGTTTTCGAAGGTCACGTGTCGTGTGACATCATAAACAAGCAATGCACCAACGGCCCCTCGATAGTATGCACTTGTGATTGCACGGTATCTGCCAAAAAGAAGCTTATAAGATACATAATTCACAATAGTTTAAGGGTCTTTTGAGGTGAACATATCATGAAATCTCTATCAGTATTACTCTATCAGGCTTTGCTAGCAATGTCAAATCTACACAAAAGATATTGCATACTACATTTTGGCACAAGCCTGATTCATTACGGTCTTATGGATTCAGTAAGTATATACAAAAATCACATCATGAATAGTTGGGTACTCTTTTCTTATCAGATCCAGATTATTACTTAAAGGGATAATTCAGACTACTCTAAGAAAATCGATCAAAATTCATTCACAACCCTAAAACTCGTATCAAATTCCTTGAGACTGAAGGAATCTAAGAGTTTGATCCCCAGAAACTCCAATTCCATCAGATACATAACGCGATCACCATCTCAACAAACAAGTAATCTCTTAGAACCAATATCTGAAAGCTTCTTAATTCTCAGACCTCCCAAGAACAGAAGAACACACCCAAAAGCCCTATAAATCCTACGTCCCTGTAATTCCCAACGATTCAGTGAACCATCAAAATCTCAAATTATAATATTAGATCTCAATAAACAGACACGAATAGAATGATCAGGACCCACATTAAGACAATGCCAGAATCCAAAAGTCATAGAAGTTAAAGAAGTAGTCGACGAACCTTTCTTGACCGGCGGTGTCCCAAATCTGAGCCTTGACGATTTTATCATCGACTCGAATACTCCGAGTGGCGAATTCGACGCCGATTGTGGATTTGGACTCGAGACTGAACTCATTGCGCGTAAACCTGGAGAGGAGATTGGATTTGCCCACACCAGAGTCACCGATGAGAACCACTTTGAAGAGGTAATCGTAATCGTCGTCCGTTCTATAGGCAGCCATAGTTTGCTTCTTCAGGTGGGATCGGATGACTGTGGTTGTGGTTGTGGTTGGAATTGAAGGGGTCTGAAAATGGATCGGGAATTGGAGCTCCAAGGCATAAGAGAAACACAGAGAGACGTTTTGAAATTGTTGAAGACGATCACTCGTAACGTTTCGCCCAAATCGGTAGTGATCTTCCACTTACTGTTTGTGGGCTTACTAACATACTTGGACCTTTTAATCATGGGCTTGAACTTGGGCTTCAATTTGGGCTTGAGCTTGGACTTCCAACAGTCCTTTTTCTTTATTAAATTTCGACATCCATCTAGTTACCCCAAGAATAATTATTAAATTTAAAATGCCCTACAACAATTTAGCTTTTTTTTTTTTTTTTTTTTTTTTTTTTAAATTTATAATTAAAAAAAATGGATATTTTTTAATGTGAAAATTTAAGCTCAAGACAGATGCAATCCTTTTAAGGTTTTTAAAACTCGTCTACTACATTACAGAGAGGTTTTCAGGCAGCCTAAGTCCACCGTTATCATATATTATCTTCTTTTAGCTTTCCCGAGTTTGCTAGGGAGAAGTTTCCATACAACCTAAACCCACTACTAGTAAATCCTTTTTGAGTTTTCTGTCTCGAATTTCCATTCAAAATTTTAAAAACGGATCTGCTAGAGAGTAATTTTCACACCCTTGTAAAGAATATTTATTCTCTCTCCAAATGATGCTGGATCTCACATTAAGAATATTATCAAAGTGAAAATTTAATATTTTTCATTAAAAACTTAACCGTAATAATATATATATATTTTTTTTTGTAGTTTTGTAATTTTTAAAATTTCAAGATTATTATTGAAATAAAATCTATATGGGAAATGGATTTATTCGATAAATATTAAAATTAAAGAATAATAAAGAGTATAATTTAAAAAAATAAAAAAAAATATAAATTGTCCTTTAAAAAGTATGGTTCACTGATTATGTGTACATAATAAACTTTTTTAAAAAAAGATTAAAAAGAAAAAAAAGAAAAACACATAATTGGGTGGTTGGTGTTCCCACGTGGTAATAATTGCGGTGTGGTTCACATCGCTGCTTTCCCGTACGGTACTGTTATATTATTATTGGGATCCCAAAATTAAAAAAATAAATAAATATTTGTTAGTGCCTAAAATTGGGTAAAATCTTTATTATAAAAATATATTGTAAAGCCTCTCCACATGCTCCCCATTTTTGGTACTTAGCTTGGGATTAACAAAATCTAATTTAATTATTCCTCATTCTCTTTTATTAAATTTTCTTTTCTTTTATTTTACCCGACCATTCCAACAAAATTCACAACTCAACCCAACCCTCGATAGATACGGTTGTCAATTTATTTTTATTTTATTTTTATTTTTTTAATTACTTCCATCTCCAAGTTTAACTCACAAGTAGCTCGCTTCTTTTTTGGTGTGAAGCAGTGTCAAACCAAAATACTCAACAAGCATTAGCTCTCCCTGAAAAGGAGGTGATCCAGCCGCACGGCTACCTTGTTACAACTTCACTCCAGTCACTAGCCCTGCCTTCGGCATCCCATAGTGTGACGGGCGGTGTGTACAAGACCCAGAAACGAATTCACCGCCGTATGGCTGACTTACTAGTGATTACGGCTTCATGCAGGCGAGTTGCAGCAACATTGATAACTATAATCTCACAAATCTCAAACATCAAACATTCAACTGTCACAATACATCACTAATATGGTTATAAATGTAAATATTCTTAATTTTCATAATAATTTTAAAAGTAAGGTAAGGTTGTACCACTGCTTTCACGTTGGTTAGGTTGACCCAACCAAAAAATTTTAACGACCCAAATTTTTTTATTTTTAAAAAATTCAAACCAACTCAAACTTGAAAAAAAAATTAAATAATAAATAATCCAACCCAAATTTTATGATTTAGGATTAGATAATTTTGGTTAGTTAAATTATCGAGTCATATGAACACCACTCATGGCTAGTTAAATTACCCAAAATTGAAAATTTTAAAATTTTATTAGACATAAAATTTAATTTTATATTTAAAATTTTAATGATCAAATAAACAAAAATTTAAAAAATACTAAATGATATTAAATGTTAGTTCATGGATAAATATTATTTTTAACACTTTTATTTTAAGCAAGCACATTATTTTTTAATTCATTTGGAATATATTTCTTAAACTTTGTATCTAAGACTTTAAATTTAAATATATATTTAAAGAAGGTATTATTAAAGGTATTTTTGAAATAAAGATATTTTGAAATTTTTTAAGAGTATAATTAATTTTTTTTTAATTTTAAAATATTTCCAAAATAATTTTTTTTTTTTTCTAATAACTTTTTTTCACATCATTATCACATATAAATATTAAAGAATAGTAGGTGTGTTCGTGTTGGATCAAACTGAGTCATTTTCCAAACTAACTTAATTCTTAAATTTTTCGATAACGGGTTTGAATCAACTTATAATAATTTTACGAAGATCAACCAAGAATTCAACCAGAAATTTTCATTTATTCAATTCAACCCAACTCAAACCAACCAAACGAGTTCGAATCAAAATTTTCGGATCAGGAAAAAACCATTAATTTCACGACGATCATATTTAGAAGGTAGAGAGAGAGAGAGAGACAGCCATGTGAGTATGAGTTGGGGACAAAGCAAAGGAGGACACTTCACATGGGGGAGCAGAAGAAAAGGACATCATCATTTTAGTCATAATTTCCGCATTATTTTAAGTTTCGTTTCGAATTCCAATTAAAAAAACGCTCTTATTTCATACGAGTTGTCTTCCAATTTTACAAACCATTAATTATATGAAAGAAAAATACATATTTTTCTGATTCAACGAAAGAAGAAACTATTATACTCGTGTGAGAGTTATACAAATAGTATCAACGTTTTTAAATGAATCATAGTTCAGCCGACATGAACTAACTCCAAAAATAAAAACTAAACCTTCGATTCATAATGGATGCCTTAATCATAATGACGAGCTCCCTGTAGGCAATAGTGTAGTGTGTATTTGATAATTAATGAGAGATACCAAACAATTTCGGGGACCAACTCAATATTAATTCAAATTATTTTAAGAATCGAATGCAATAACCTCGTATTCCTCTTCAATCAAGCTACGTGCATCAAATCTAAGCAGATATATATTATTATCGTCGTAAAAGTATGATAATTTTTGTAATACAGCATTGAGTGAGATTAAAATCTTCGATTTTAAAGAAATGAGTACATGTCAATTACTGTTGAAGTATGTTCACTTTATCTCAAAAATTAGAATTTTAACCTGTAACACCTCAAACCCAGCGCTAACAGATATTATCCGCTTTAGTCAGTTACGTATCGTTATTAGCCTCATAATTTTAAAATATCTACCCGAAGAAGTTTTCATACCCTTATAAAAAATGTTTTGTTTTCTCTCCTTAGGAGGGATGTGAAGGCCAACGGGTCACATCGGCACGTGGTGTCTAATTTATATATTTATTATGGAATTTTGATATTAAATAAAATAAATAAATAAAAATGGCCTAAGTTGCATCAACCCCTCCTCCCCACAGCTGTTGCTAGCTGTCCCTAATCCCACCCCCCATGTGACCCACTTTCCCTCTTCCTATACCTTTGGGGCTCTTGAATTATATGAAAGTGAAATTTCAATTTATAAAAAACATAAAATATTATTTCTATAATTATTTACGAACACACGGTCACAACGTATACGTCGATCTTGCACAATTAGGAGTAAGAAAGCTTGTACATTTTTAAATCAGATAACAATATTGTGACAAACGGGACTGTGAATTATTAAGAGACTGCAACTTGTAATTGACCTGATTGGTGATCATCCAAAGACGATTCTTACGAACCATACTGTTTGGTTAAGTTTGGTTCATTACACCATTATAAACCCGTACCCGTCGTCCGTTTGAGTGTCCAAAATTCCCTTATGGCACAATTGCCCCCAAAAATACCCTCTTTCCCTCAAAATTGGCCTCATTTTCCTCCTCCTCCAATGCATAATTTATCTCCGCCGCCTCCGCCGTCCTCCTCCGCCGCTTCCCACCATAACCCTTCATGGGTTGACGACTTTCTCGACTTCTCCACTGCCCGCCGTGGCCTTCACCGGAGATCCATTAGCGACTCCATTGCTTTTCTCGAAACCCCATTTTCCGATGCATGTCGTAACTCCTCCTCCTCCTCCTCCTCCTCCGCTGTTGCTGTCGCCGTGCTGCATGCTACTCCGACGTTTGACCGGCTTGACGACGACCAGCTTATGTCGATGTTTTCCGATGACATTTCCGTGGCGGTGCCGGCGTCGTCGAACCCTTCATCCTCCTCCGACCAGAATAGTAATAACTATGAAAAGACAACGACAGTGCCATCCGAACCGCCCCCGCCGCCGCATCAGTTGAAGAATGAACCCGGTGAGGTCGAAAGCTCCTCTTGCCAATTACAGCAGCAAGCTGAACCTCCGCCGCCGTCTTCCGCCGCCGGTGATAACACCATTGATCCCAAACGAGTTAAGAGGTAATTAACCACACCAACGCATCTCAAAATCAGTCAATCAATTCAAAAGAAACAAAAAAATATTGAATTTCCAATTTTTTTTAACAAATTCTCAAACTATCTTCTTTTTTTTATTTAATTTTAATTTTGTATGAATCAACCACAAATACCCATAACACATACACTAAAATAGCCACAAAAGATGTCAACTTTATGACATAATCATGAATGACCCCACATCATAATTAACGTAATTAACAACATAATAATAGAATCAAACCATATTAACGTTCGGTGGGTGGGTTTTTGTTCGGTGTCAGAATTTTAGCAAATCGACAATCAGCACAAAGGTCGAGAGTAAGGAAATTACAATACATTTCTGAGCTCGAGAGAAGTGTAACGACATTACAGGTATGGATTAATTAAATTCTTCTCTTTAATTTTCTTTTTCTAAAAATTTATTTTAATTTTTGTTATTGTGATTTTAGACTGAAGTTTCAGCATTGTCTCCAAGAGTGGCATTTTTGGATCATCAAAGATTGATTCTTAATGTCGATAACAGTGCTCTTAAACAGAGAATTGCAGCTTTGGCTCAAGATAAGATTTTTAAAGATGGTAATTTATTTATTATTTTTGGTAATTTAATGAGAGAAAAATGATAATTAATTAATCATAAATTGTGTTTATTTTCTAAGCTCATCAAGAGGCATTAAGGAAGGAAATAGAGAGATTAAGGCAAGTTTATCATCAACAAAGTTTGAAGAAAATGGGAAGCAATCATAATCGGAATGGGGCGGCGCCGCCGTCTTCAGGGAAAGAAGCTCCGCCGCGAATGGCTGAGACGGAGACGGAGCTGGCTGTAAGTTGAATTAACAAAATGGACTTCCTTCACGTGATTTGCTTCCAATTCTCACTTGGATGTTTTGCGGTGGGGTCCACTTGACAGTTTGATAATCAACGGTCATCGTGTTGACACGTGGGTGGGATTGGTTTAGGAGGGTGCTGATGAAAACAAAAACAATTTCTTTTTCTTTTTCTTTTTTTAAAGATTATTGGGTTTTTTTAAAGGGTGGATTTATTAATTGGATTAATTAAATGCTTTTCTTCTCTAGCTTCTCCAAATCACGTGAAGAGGAGATGTTTTTTTTTTTTTTTTTCATTTTTTATTCTAAAATAAATATTAATATATTAAATATAAGCCGTATTTATTTTATTATAATCAAAATATAACCATATATAAGTTGATCATTACTATGTGACATGACGAGTTTAGTTGAGAAGATAGGTGGCAAAAAGAAGATTATTAAATATTATTTTGTAGCTGTGAATCCGCTAGCATATTGCTATTTTTGTGTTTTCCCCTTCAAACTTCCTTTCAAGTTTTTGAAATGTGTCAATTAGGGATAGATTTTCATACCCTTATAAGGTTTTGTTCAATCTATACCCTTACAAGAAAGGTTTTGTTCCCCCTTTCCAACCGACGTAGGATCTCACAATCCAATCTCCTTGGGGGCCTAACGTCCTCATTGGCACACCATCCAATGTCTGACTTTGATACCATTTAGATTGTGAAATCCCACATCAGTTGGAGAGGAAGACAAAACATTCCTTATAAGGATTAAGGATGTAAAAACCTCCTCTTAACGAATACATTTTAAAACCCTGAGGAAAATCTCGAAAGAAAAAACCTAAAAAAACAATATATGCTAGCGTGGGCTTAGGCTGTTACGCTATCCGGTGCTAAGCTCATATTGAGACCCTGGTGTTGGGAAAGGCACAGAGGAAACATTCAATCAGGAGAAACCACATGTTATTTGGATCAAACACTTAATTTTTACTAGAGCTCCCTCATCTGTGTGATGGAGTTCAATCTTCTTCTAATCTCCATTACAAAGATGGGGGAGCTCTAGAACTACCAACACTTCAAGTTACATGGAAGCTAAATACAGTTCTCTAGACTTGAATTCCCATGTTATTTAAGATGGTTCGAGACTCGTCCCTTCTCAGTCGCAAGAATCGAGTTCTGTTGCTTCCCCAGTGTCTCATTGCAGCTACCATTAATAATCTCCAAACAGTGATTCGCTGAAGATTTGAGTTACGAGCATTGAAGGAGTACAAGGCGAGTGCTATTGTTGATACTCCTGCACTCAACAAAAACAGAAAAAAGAAGCTATTGGGACTGAGGCTTGTAATTCTATCTTTCCCTTCCCCTTCCTCACATTTCTCATTAGCAATCATGCTGTCCTCCATCTCTCTAAACTTCCCAGTTTCAGATACTTTAAGCAATGCTTCGTCGATATATGGTAACAACAGAGAGCCTCTCGGAAACGCCTGCAGGACATCAAGAAGCAGGGATGAAAACATATTTAGAATGAAGAGTTTTAAATGCAACAAGATGATCTTACAAATCCAAATCCTCCAACTTTGTAGGTCGGCCCAGCAATCTTGAACTCCAGGCAATATCTTGCAAGGAATAGTTTTGCAAAGGGAACTTCAAGAAAAGTAGCTGCTATCTCTTGATTTCTGAGAGCGTCAGCTAAACCCTCTGGGGTAGAGTAGTTTTTTATGGTTTCTGTAGGAAAGTGTAGAACTTGCTCCAGATATCCTTTGACAAAGGATCCTCTGCCGTATCCCACAAATGCATTCATTCTATGGAGAGTTTCAATATCCGATATAGTCGGTTCGAGCTGTTGAATAGTGAGCATGCTAGTAAGCTTGGCGGTGTATATCTGAGTTATCACGAGTGCTACAAATAACCAAACCATCATGGTCATCCTCGACAAGTTACTGTGCAGCCTGTTACCTTTAACCAAGCAAATAAGCCAATATCAATGGTGAATTTCCCCTCCTTCCAATTGCAAAAATGGCAAAACCATAATTAATGAACTGTTTTAGTTACCATGCAAGGAGAAGAAAGTGGTGAAGGAAGAGCAGAGTATGGTTCCAGCATGATTAAACATCGAACCTTCAGGTTCAGGACCATGATTTCGTTCTATGAACCAAACAACAAAGCCATTATACACGTTTACCACAGCAATTATGATCCACAAGGTCACTGTAAAGGGCTTTGTGAAAAACAATGCTCTATTACTTCTATTTTTTGTGGTAGGAACAATCATCACAAGTCCTGCTTCAGTGTAAGGATGTGTAAATTCTGCATGTTCGTAACGCGTTGATACTATTGCTATGTCACCTACTGCTGCATCGAATTCCTTAATAGACAGGCATAACAAAAAATAAGTTGTTGGATCTTTCCATGAGATATCAGTGTTAGCTTTGTTACTCAACTTAAACAGGTGTATCTTCAGACAAAAGTTCTGATCATATGAGATTTCAGTATATGCTTATGACTGATTCGAAAGGAAACTCTTATATTAGGAATATGTGAAATTTTGTTCTTACCTTCAAATAGATTTTCTTCACTAAATCATCATAAGTTCCATTGTAAGCGAAGAACTTGTGTAGCAGAGGGAAGTGCAGATGGTCTAAGGTTGCTTTAAATAAATCGATTGCAAGTCCATTGACGGATAAATTGTTTCCTGTTTGATCTCCTTCCACATTTACATACTGCTTGAACATGGGACTAGTCGGCACACCAATTCTCAACTCATTGGCATCTGTCGGTACAGCCCATCCCCTTGGAGTATCTGTAGATCCACCTGGCCAAAACACTTGACCAAGATACTTCATTGACAAGTTGGCAGACGAATTTCCCCCCAATTCTCGTGCGAAGCCTAATTCGTCAGACCAGAAGCCTAAGTCCCTATAACTTCTCCCCACAACATTGACGATCTGAAAAGTATTGGCTGGGGCTAATTTTCTGTCCTTAAACTGAACCTTTCCACCCAATCCTTGAAAATCAGTGAGCTTGATTGATTCCAACAAGTGATGACCTGTTTCTCGGGTTTCACTCATTGCCATAGCTGCTGTTCTTGTGGCATCATAAGCCTGTACCGCAAAAATACTAGGCTCGTGGTTGTACTCGTCAGAATGCTCTAATCTAAACCTTCTACAGAACTGAATATAAAAATTATGAAATAGAGGGTTGATTTCCGGGAAATAACTCTTGACTCCAATAACTCCTTGTAGTGAAGAACTGGTAGAAGCATTCAAAGAATGTGCAAGGCTTGTGAAAGAATCAGTAGTGATCCAAACATAACCATTTCCCATCATTTCCATGTCTTTTGCAGTATGAAATAGATGCAATGCCAACTTGAAAGACATATGAACTACAAAAACTCTACTTGGCCCTCGTCTTAGCCTCTCAAGTTCAGTGGATAATAAATTAGAATCAAAATGGGGGAGACCAACAAATTCACTTATTTCAGCTCCTACATCTTTGAGAGCATGCTCAAGGTAAGGAAATATGTCCACGGTCGAGAAATCTCCTTCTTCATATATAACATTAACCAGATGCCAATCCCACGAACCAATAATAGCAGCTATGGCTTTCATTTGATTCAACTGGGATGGAGAAGCTTGGATCAAAAAATCCAACCTCTCAGTTGCCCACTTTGGCATGTCATTAGCCAACGCCAGTATCGGTATCTGATTCTTATTTCCAACCTTGGCAACTACAAAAACTGCTTCCCAGGTTTGTGGCCCTATAAGAACCTGTACTCGTTGCCTACTGATCAGATCTTCAGCTGCAAATTCAATAGTTTATTTATATTGTGTTTATGACAAACACTGTTAGATGCATAAAAAGAAGCTGGTTTAATCTAGAACTTAATGAACAAAACAGGTGTTTTTGTACTTCAAAACAGCTCAAACTCTTACCTGCAAGAGCTGCCTGATAGGGATCACTTTTGGAGTCTCTGATGACAAGACTGAAATTTTGATCGTTGGAGTTAAAACTCTCTACAGCCATCCGCATGGCTAAACTCTGTTCTTTACCAATCCTAGAACTACAGTCTACAATGGCCCCTATTCTGCCCTTTCCACCACCAATCATTTTTGAGCCCACATTTCTTTGAGTTCCATGCTTTCCAGCAACTATTAGAGAAAACAACAAGAAAGAAAACAGAAAGGAAAACTTTCCCATTTTCCAGAAGAGGTAAAAAACAAAGGCTTAGCCCTCCATTATATTTGCCCCATGGAACTCATTTTCTTTACAATTTACTTGTTGACTACGGTATGCCATTTCTTTTCTTGCTCTACTTTTGAGTCAAATAGTCCCAAATCACTACGAAATTTACAGATTTCATGTGCGTGGAAATTAACACGAACCATTTGCTTTCTTAGAGTTATGACTCTGTGTATAATAACCAAAATCCCAACAACCATGGCCACACATTAATTATCTAACAAAATTTGACATTCTATTTATTGATCGAAGTCTCACATCGGCTAAATTAGGTAATGGTCATGGGTTTATAAACAAAAAATACTTTCTCCATTAGTTGAGGCTTTTTGGGGAAGCCCAAAGCAAAGCCATGAGAGCTTATGCTCAAAGTGGACAATATCATATCATTGTGGAGGTGTTCGTTTAACATTTACAAGTGCTCGGACTGAAATTCATAATACGGACAACGAAGAGAAATTTCCAAATTCTTTACGAATGTAAACATATATCAGTAGACATCCATTGCTATGTATACAAATCATCATGTCATTCCAACATCCTCAAACAACTCAATGAACATGAACAAATTGGAAAAACGTGGAAGAAATTAGGTTTAAATCCTAGTCCCAGATGTTCTTTATCATCCATAATCACTTTTTGAAACCCCCAATTTCCGATTAGATTTTGGTGGGAAGGAAATGAATGGAAGATTCAAAGTTGAAATGTGAAAGAGAAAAAAAAATTAATTAGCAGAAGACAATTTCTGGGGAATTTGAGAGGGATGTGTTCGTATATTCATTGTGTAGTATTCAAACCTGCAGAAGCGACCACAAACGAATACCGCTTGTTATGGATCGCTTTCAAGCCCACCGTCTTCTGAATTTCTTGAATGTGCACAGGAATTTTCCTGGATTCTTCCTTGGATTCCAAGAAAATTGGGGCAAAATCTCTCCGGAATTTCCCTCCATCCTTGCGAAGCTTAATACTTAATTCGCCAACCCTCCCCATGGACTAAATACCATCTTCCAAAGCGAAAATTTTAAGTTATTTCATATCCATAAGTTTTTTTTTTTTTTTTTACTAAATTAATAATAAAAATATACTCTTCGACCTTTTAATTTTATCGTAAAAATATCTATCAATAATTCTCTTAATTTTTTTTAAAAATTCAAAAATATCATTAAAATGGAAATGTTAATACTTTATTTTTATAAAAAAATAAAAATAATCTTTAAAATAAAAATAAAAATTTTAAAAATAATTTATCGTCTATATATCGATTGTAAATACTTTATTTATAAAAGTTAAATTGGTTAATGCTCCTCTCAAAATTAATATTTTTTATACCTGAAATTAATATTAATAGTAAGAATATATTTATAATATATATATATATATATATATATATATAATATTGAAGTTTCTTTAAAATTAACCCTTTTTAAAATTTTTTTTTTAAAAATTTAAAATATTTTTGAGATAATAGATAATTGATAAAAAAAGAAAAATTGAGTTATAAATTGGTTAATGCTCCTCTCAAAATTAATATTTTTTATACCTGAAATTAATATTAATAATAAGAATATATTTATAATATATATATATATATAATATTGAAGTTTCTTTAAAATTAACCCTTTTTAAAAATTTTTTTTAAAAAATTTAAAATATTTTTGAGATAATGATAATTGATAAAAAAAGAAAAATTGAGTTATAAATTGGTTAATGCTCCTCCCAAAATTAATATTTTTTATACCTGAAATTAATATTAATAGTAAGAATATATTTATAATATATATATATATATATATATATATAATTTTAAATTTAAAATATTTTTGAGATAATAGATAATTGATAAAAAAAGAAAAATTGAGTTATAAATTGGTTAATGCTCCTCTCAAAATTAATATTTTTTATACCTGAAATTAATATTAATAGTAAGAATATATTTATAATATATATATATATATATATATATATAATTTTAAATTTAAAATATTTTTGAGATAATAGATAATTGATAAAAAAAGAAAAATTGAGTTATAAATTGGTTAATGCTCCTCTCAAAATTAATATTTTTTATACCTGAAATTAATATTAATAGTAAGAATATATTTATAATATATATATATATATATATATATATAATTTTAAATTTAAAATATTTTTGAGATAATAGATAATTGATAAAAAAAGAAAAATTGAGTTATAAATTGGTTAATGCTCCTCTCAAAATTAATATTTTTTATACCTGAAATTAATATTAATAGTAAGAATATATTTATAATATATATATATATATATATATATATAATTTTAAATTTAAAATATTTTTGAGATAATAGATAATTGATAAAAAAAGAAAAATTGAGTTATAAATTGGTTAATGCTCCTCTCAAAATTAATATTTTTTATACCTGAAATTAATATTAATAGTAAGAATATATTTATAATATATATATATATATATATATATATAATTTAAAATTTAAAATATTTTTGAGATAATAGATAATTGATAAAAAAAGAAAAATTGAGTTATAAATTGGTTAATGCTCCTCTCAAAATTAATATTTTTTATACCTGAAATTAATATTAATAATAAGAATATATTTATAATATATATATATATATAATATTGAAGTTTCTTTAAAATTAACCCTTTTTAAAAATTTTTTTTAAAAAATTTAAAATATTTTTGAGATAATGATAATTGATAAAAAAAGAAAAATTGAGTTATAAATTGGTTAATGCTCCTCCCAAAATTAATATTTTTTATACCTGAAATTAATATTAATAGTAAGAATATATTTAATATATATATATATATATATATATATATATATATATATATAATATTGAAGTTTTCTTTTAAAATTAACCCTTTTTTAAAAAAAAAATTTTAAAAATTTAAAATATTTTTGAGATAATAGATAATTGATAAAAAAAAAGAAAAAATTGAGTTATAAATTGATTAATGCTCCTCTCAAAATTAATATTTTTTATACCTTAAATTAATATTAATAGTAAGAATATATTTATAATATATATATATATATATATATATATATATATATATATATATATATAATATTGAAGTTTCTTTAAAATTAACCCTTTTTTAAAAAAAAAATTTAAAATTTAAAATATTTTTGAGATAATAGATAATTGATAAAAAAAGAAAAATTGAGTTATAAATTGGTTAATGCTCCTCTCAAAATTAATATTTTTTATACCTGAAATTAATATTAATAGTAAGAATATATTTATAATATATATATATATATATATATATATAATTTTAAATTTAAAATATTTTTGAGATAATAGATAATTGATAAAAAAAGAAAAATTGAGTTATAAATTGGTTAATGCTCCTCTCAAAATTAATATTTTTTATACCTGAAATTAATATTAATAGTAAGAATATATTTATAATATATATATATATATATATATATATAATTTTAAATTTAAAATATTTTTGAGATAATAGATAATTGATAAAAAAAGAAAAATTGAGTTATAAATTGGTTAATGCTCCTCTCAAAATTAATATTTTTTATACCTGAAATTAATATTAATAGTAAGAATATATTTATAATATATATATATATATATATATATATAATTTTAAATTTAAAATATTTTTGAGATAATAGATAATTGATAAAAAAAGAAAAATTGAGTTATAAATTGGTTAATGCTCCTCTCAAAATTAATATTTTTTATACCTGAAATTAATATTAATAGTAAGAATATATTTATAATATATATATATATATATATATATATAATTTTAAATTTAAAATATTTTTGAGATAATGATAATTGATAAAAAAAGAAAAATTGAGTTATAAATTGGTTAATGCTCCTCTCAAAATTAATATTTTTTATACCTGAAATTAATATTAATAGTAAGAATATATTTATAATATATATATATATATATATATATATAATTTTAAATTTAAAATATTTTTGAGATAATAGATAATTGATAAAAAAAGAAAAATTGAGTTATAAATTGGTTAATGCTCCTCTCAAAATTAATATTTTTTATACCTGAAATTAATATTAATAGTAAGAATATATTTATAATATATATATATATATATATATATAATATTGAAGTTTCTTTAAAATTAACCCTTTTTTAAAATTTAAAATATTTTTGAGATAATAGATAATTGATAAAAAAGATAATAGATAATTGATAAAAAAGAAAAATTAATAGATAATTGATAAAAAAAGAAAAATTGAATAACTCAATTTTTAAAACTAAATGATTTAAAAAAATATATGTTAAAAAAATATATGTATTATTTCTTTATTAAAATAATTAATAATTGATTGTACGTGATCACACCCTATATTAGTCGATGTGGGACTTCCATCATCCAACACCTCCCCTTAAGCCTTCTACCAATGGAGTTAGTATTCCTCACTTATCAACCCGTGATCACACCCTATATTAGTCGATGTGGGACTTCCATCATCCAACACCTCCCCTTAATCGAGGCTCGACTCCTTTGGAGTCTTAGGACTTTTTTACTTTTGTTCGATATTTGAGGATTCGAGAATTTACCAATCTATTGGCACGACTAAGTTTAGGGCATGACTCTGATACTATGTTAGACGAACACGACTCACCACAATGGTATGATATTGTCCACTTTGAGCATAAGCTCTCATGGCTTTGCTTTGGGCTTCCCCAAAAGGCCTCATATCAATGGAGTTAGTATTCCTCACTTATAAACCCATGATCACACCCTAAATTAGTCGATGTGGGACTTCCATCATCCAACACTTCTTAAGGCCAAATAATAAAGTTTAAGCCGTTTTGAAGTATAAAAAATTACTATAAAGAAAAAAAAAATATATTTTTAACCCAATTCATAACATTTAAAATATAATTCTTATAATCAAAACCAATTTAATATAAATATGAAATTAACAAAATCATTCGCTTTCACATTTCCATTTTCTACAATTAATTATTAATGGTTTCAATTGACCATTATATTTATGTTCAGTCAGTTGTTTATCTTTAAATTTTTTTACGTTGGACATTGTTCAGTCGTTTTTACCGTGTCATTCACCAACTATTGATCTTCGTCTAATGATGTCGTTTTTGCCGTTTGACTTAGTTGGTGAAGGAAAGAAAAGGAATTAAAAAGAAAAAAAGAATTTTATTAATTGTTTAAATTAAAAGAATTTTATTAATTGTTTAAATTAAGGTTTATTTTAATCA